GGCCTGAACTCACAAACCATGAGACCGTGACCTGAGCTGAAGTCGGATGCCCAACCAACTGTGCCACCCAGGCATCCTGGACTTTTTTTTTTTTTTTTTTTTTTAAATGGGAGATACTTTGAGACTTTGTAAATACCCATTTCCTCTCAAACTTTTATCCACTAGTTTTAGCAGCCATTGATTCTTACTTGAACAATTAATACTTCCCAAGGTTTACTTTTATATTTATTAGCACTCTGCCAAAAGGAAGAGTTTTGCGTGCACACACACACACACACACACACACACACACACGGCATGTGCACACACTATACATTATAATCTGATACTATTTTTTCATGCAGATTGTCCATTTGGTGCCCTTCCAAGTTGGCTTTTGGGTCCCTTTGCTGTATCCCCATCATTTTTTGAGTACTTTCTTTGGCATGAGATGTTTTAGGCTCATCACCTACATTTCCTTTCCCAGATTTGGAATTAGCCATTTTCTCTAAGGAGTCTGCTGTTGCTGCAAGGGAGGCCTGAGGGTTTGTGAGTGGAAGAGACTCAGATTTGTTTGAGTCTACCCAAATATCCCCATTTCAAATCTCCAGGTCTCACTCCTTTTCAATCAGTGCATAGGTTTCACCTAAGAGAACTGGCATGGCTGTGAATTCTAGATTGTAATTCTACAACTCATGAAATTTGGGGCCTGATTTGTAGCCAGTTATGCCCTGTATCTCCACGAATTGAGATATTTTTTTAAGACTGCCATAGAAGTGCTCTAGTTCTCTGATCATGACTTGGCTTTCAAAGTTAAGGCCTGAACTTGTTGTTTTCTGTGAGTACACAATACAATAAAAAGTAGCCAATTCATTTCACTCTCCTGTTGATCATCATCACCATTATAAACATCAAGTGTAGCATCTAAACTTGGTCTTTTGAGCCTTGTCTTCAATAGGCACTTCATGCAAAACAACTGTAAGTCTTTTTTGTTTTGTTTTGTTAGTGTTTGAGAGAGAGAGCTTGCACGGGGAAGGGGCAGAGAGAGGTGGGCAGAAGATCCCAAGCGGGCTCCACGCTGACAGCAGCGAGCCCTGTGTGGGGCTCTAACTCAGGAACTGTGAGATCATGACCTGAGCCGAAGCCAGACGTTCAACTGGCTAAGCCACCCAGGTGCCCCAAAACAACTACAAATCTTAACATACGGCATGACATATGTTACCAGATCTAATTTTCTACTGGCAGTGAGGTCTTCCCTGAATTCAAGCTCAAACATGGTGGTGAACTAAATGCAGAAACACATCTTTGAGGGCCTGTTTCTCAGGACCACTCCAGGTGCAAAGCTTTGTACTGGTCAGTGTCTGACTTGGAAACAGAGTTCACTCTAGGTATTTCAAACTGAAGAGATTTAATGCAGGGATATGTTATAAGGATGTCTAAAGGACTGAAGGAGCAAAAGAGAGAAGGGAAGGTTACTTATAAACAGACAACTGCAGCTAGGCAACTGACATCAGCCAGGGCTGGAGAGAGATTACTCAGAGGCCACAGCACATTGCTGGGACTGGATTTCAGCTACCTGGCAAGGACCCAGAGCCTGTACGTCCAACTTCATGTGGCTGCCCCTGAAGCCCCCACCACCTGACCCTTAGTCCCTGATGTTCTTACAGCCAATGCTGCTATAGCCAGGGTCGCTGTCAGAAATCTGGACAGGGGTGCCTGGGTGGCTGTCAGTTGAGTGTCTGATTCCTGATTTTGGCTCAGGTCATGATCCTGGGGTGGTGGGATCAAACTCTGTGCTGTCAGCACAGAGCCTGCTTGGGATTCTCTCTCTCCCTCTCTGCCCCCCTACCCCAAATAATAAACATTTTTAAAAAACCTGAACAGAAAGAATCATTTTTCCTCACCCAGCTTGCATCTCATAGCAGTGCCTCCCATTGGTAGATGCTAAATGGAAGTCCGCTTAGTAAGGAAGTCTCAGACTGTAATTTGGGGATCTGACTACATTATGTTGTTACGTTACATTTCAGGGCACAGAAAATTGAAGATAGGAGACTGGGAGCAAAACAGCAACACAAACAAATGAATAAACAAATGAGAAGATGCTCAAAGTTAACTCTATCCCAGAAATCCCAACCGGTTGAATCCAAATACTGAGCTCCTGTTGCATGCTGGGCATGGTGGCGCTAGGCTTTGGAAATGCATTGGGGAACAAAACACAGTCCCTGCTGTCCTGGGATTTGCAGTCACAGGGTAGGGATAGACAGCCAATAAGCACTTCATCTAAAGGCACCATTACCTATATCTGACAAAGAATTTTTATCTTGATACACAACACACAAAACAAAAATAAATGTAGAAAGATAGACCACCCTAATAAATGGTCAAAGAAAATTGAGCAGACCATTCACAAAAGAGGATATTCCTTTGGTCCATAAATATGAAAGGGTGCTCAACTGTGTCAGTCATGGAAATGCAATCACAATGAGACACCACTACATACCTACAGCTTGGCTAGAAATTAAAAAAAAAAAAAAAAAAAAAAAAAAAAAAAAAAAAAAAGGCTGGCAACGCCACCAGGTGTGGCAAAGTGTGGAACAAGGATATGGTCCATTGGAATGAACACTTTGGAATCCTGGTCAGAAACATCTACAGAAGCTAAACATCATACCTACCCTCTGACCTGGCAATTCTATCGTTAGATTTACAACCAAGAGAAGTTCAAGTATATGTTCATGAAAAGACATGTGTAAGACTATCCATAGGAGCTGTATTCATGAAAGTTCATACCTGGAAATCACCTAAATGGCCACATGGATAAAAGAAAGGTTAAAAGTTGTGACATATTGGGACACCTGGGTGGCTTAGTCAGTTTGGTGTCCGACTTCAGCTCGAGTCATGATCTGGCAGTTTGGAGTTCGAGCCCCACGTCAGGCTCTGTGCTGACGGCTCGGAGCCTGGAGCCTGTTTCGGATTCTGTGTCTCCCTCTCTCTCTGCCCCTCCCCTGCTCGTGCTCTGTCTCTCTCTCAAATATAAACATTTAAAATGAAAAAGTTGTGTGGGGCTCCTGGGTGGCGCAGTCGGTTGGGCGTCCGACTTCAGCCGGGTCACGATCTCGCGGTCCGTGAGTTCGAGCCGTGGTCCATGAGTTCGAGCCCCGCGTCGGGCTCTGGGCTGATGGCTCGGAGCCTGGAGCCTGTTTCCGATTCTGTGTCTCCCTCTCTCTCTGCCCCTCCCCCGTTCATGCTCTGTCTCTCTCTGTCCCAAAAATAAATAAACGTTGAAAAAAAAAATTAAAAAAAAAAAATGAAAAAGTTGTGACATATTTAGATAATTGAACACTATTCAATAAAAGCGAGTGAGCTGCTGCTACATGCAGCAACGTATGGATGAAACTCACCGAATGTTCAACAAAAAAAGCCAGATATAAGAGTTTATATCCCATTTATTTGAAGTTCGAGAGTAGACAAAACTCATCTTTGGTGATAGAAGACAGAATCGTGCTTTGGTGGTATTGATGGGGTAGAGGCAGGAAGGATCCTGTTGGTGTGCTCGAAATGTTCTGTATTGATTTGGATGGTGTTTCCACTGGTGTATATATGAATAAAAGCTCCACAAGCTGTAAACCTAAGATTTGTGCATTTCACAGTATGTATGTTATTCCTTAAAAAATTACCAACAAAAAAAAAGCAAAACAAATGAGAGTGTCATGTAAATGTAAGTGCTAAGAAGGAATTAAGTGATGTGATGGGTGGATGGGAGGTTGACTGACCAGAGCTGAGACCTGAATGGCGATGAGGAGGTAGCCACATAATGAGTGGAGGGACTTCCTGTGAGAGGGGACAGCAAGTGCAAAGGTCCTGAGGCAGGACCACGTTTGCTGTGTTGGAGGAACATAGTCAAGGCCAATGGACTGGAACACTGTAAGCAGGGCCAAAGCAAGCCTTTATTTAGGGTGGCTTTTTTAACAGCGAGTGGAAAGCATGAAGGGTATGAGATAAGGGGTGCTGGGTATACTTTCTCAGGAGTAAGGGAGAGAGAAACCTTGATGACTTTTAATTCTGTGGCTGGGACATCTGGAAGGCCGGACGCTGGGGTTCCACTGACAGCAGGACTGGGGAGGCAGTGGAGTCAGGGTTGGTTTGGACCCTTTAAAGTGGACCTACTTTTTAATATCCCTGGAGTTGTTGGGGGAGGCAGTGGGTGGTGGGGCTGAAGTTCTGCACCAGCCCCAGGATAGGCACTCATGTCTGGAGCACACAGGTGGCATTTCCAGCTTCAGGCACCTGGGAGAACAGAGAGCAAGAAGGAACACAAGGTGTTTAATGACATGAGGTTTTCTGGAAAGAGACTCGAACTGCTGAGGGTTTGGATTGAGACTGTTTTAAAAGTGCTTCTTTAACAAGCTCTCTTGAGTGCTCTCCCCACCAGGCACTGAGCGCCCCAAGGTGAGCAGACTGCCTGGGCTTCCGTGTCCAGAGCCAGAGCCGCAGGCCCTGAAATGCAGATCCCAGGGCCCACCTGTGACCTTCTGATACGGAGTGCTGGAGGCATCTGCATTTTCCAAGTTCCCTGGGTGAGTCTTTTTGTATACTGAAGTTTGAGAATCTCTTACTTCCAGTGGCCGTGTGTGTGTGTGTGTGTGTGTGTGTGTGTGTATATGAGAGAGAGAGAGAGAGAGAAAGGGGGGCAAGGTGGAGGAGAGAGAGGAGAGAGGGAAAGAGAGCAATTTCCTCTTTCTTTCCCTCTCTGAGGGTGGGGCTACTCTGGAGTTCAGGAAAGCAGTCAGTTCTGTAAGCTTTGCTGTGTGTGTGTGTGTGTGTGTGTGTGTGTGTGTGTGCGCGTGCGCGTACACGCTAATGTGTGGGGGGCGGGCACGGTGTCCCAGGAGGACAGAGTTTGCATTGATGAAAACCTTTCCCAGCCCTTTGATACCTCTTTCCCGCCGCTCTGAAGCTAACTAGCTCCGTCCTCCTGCATCCTGCTCTCCAGCTGCACCAGCTGCCCTCGCTCACGGGCCAGGATGGGATTCTGTCTGGCCCTACGTATGGTGCTGCTGCTCCTGTCCGGGGTCCTGGCCCCTGCAGTACTCACAGGTAAGGGTGCTCCCTCAACTCTGCTGCCACCAGCCACCCAGGGCCAAGAAGCACCTAGAGCCGGATTCTCCACGGCCCACCGGGCAGAAGAAGCCCTTCCCTCACAGAAGGTGGAACCGCCATTTGGGGTGGTTCTTTGGAAGGCTCCTGGGAGACAGGCCGCCAGGAGCCGCGTTGATGTCCTGGGAGTTGTTAGCCATGGGGACGATGGCCCCCGAAGCAGGAGGGCAATTTAAGCAGCAGGGCCAGGGAGGTTAGCTGCCTGGGGGGACATGGGGGTACCCCAGCATGCTAAAATCTGAAGGCTTCCAGTCAGGAAAGGGCACTAGGCACAGGGCAAGCAGCCGAGGGACCAGAGGCCCCAGGCTCCTAGACAGAAAACCACAGAGCCCCGCCGTTTTACGTTTCAACCCTGCAAGCCCTTCTCTGCTGGCTTTCTGAAATGTCCTTTCAGAGTGAAGACCCAGGTACTAGTCTCAGCCCGGGAAAAATTCCAGAAAGAGCACAGAGCCTGAGACTCCTTGGCAAAACCATGATGAGGACACTGGACTTGGGCTCTGTACTTAGGTCAAAACGGCTGGGTGTGGGATTCAGTGAGAAGGAAGGTCCCACCAGGCTCACGGTGGCAGGCTGGCTGGACCTCAGGCCCCGTCCTGGGCATGGCTCTAGGGCCCTCTGCTGGGAAGGGCTGTCCCAGGCCAGCTTCAAAGTCTGAGAGAGAAAAAGCCCAGGTAGCTCACGGATGGTCTTTCTCTGTTGGCTGTGAGGTGGGCCACTGGAGAAATATTTCAGGGCCCTTGTTGGGGGTGGTGCTGGGGCTAGAGGAATGAGTGGGAGGAGAGACCCCCGGAGACCTTCTCTGCAGCACCGACTTTGGGGGGGAATGTCTGTGGATCTATAGGAGTGGCAGCTGGATGCCAGCCACATGAGCATGGCCCTGGGGAGAGTTACTGGGGGACGTGAGGCCCGGTGGGACAGCCACACTCAGGCACACACGCCAGGAAGAAGAGGGTGATGGCAAATTGCCTGTGGGCATGCAGGCCCCTCTAGACGTCCTAGGAAGAACCTCAGGTCCTTGGGACTGGTCCTTGCAGATCCCCCACCCCCCACCCCAGCCCTGCCTGGTGGTCAAAGTGGGTAGGGGTGAAGGTGCTGGCGCCTGCCTGCCCAGGCTCTGGGACCGTCTGGGGAGCTCCTGTCCAGTTTCTTGTTTCCAGAGTAGCCAGCCCTCCCAGCCCAGGATGCTGGCCAGAGGCCCTGGATCAGACTGCATACACAGCCTGGGTGGGTGGGCTTTGTCCACTGCCACAGGAATGTTTGGGGACGTGTTTGGCATCTCTGGGGCCTCACCCGGCCTCACCTCCCTCCACGTGTCCTACCGAGAACAGGCAGGCCAGCTCCACCCCGGAGTCTTTGGGGTTTTGGCCGGCTGTCATTCTTCCTGCCGTTTGGGGAGGGAGGATGTTTGGGAGCCTCTCGGCTACCCCACTTTGGGCCAGAAGCTCTGAGCAGGTGTGTATAGGGCCCAGCAGGCCCCCTGCCCTTTGCTCGGTGGGCTGGGGTCCTGTGGCAGGCAGGCAGGGAAGGAGTGGCCCCGTGGCTGAGCTGCGGGCCCTGCCTGCCGTCCTCCGTCCTCCGTGTTGGTTGCCTGTGGCTGCCGCTACTGGGTAGGGGGAGCAGGCCAGGTTGAGCAGGCGGGAGGCCAGGCCAGGGATGAAAAGGCCCTTCATGGCTGGCACAAAGGCTGTCTGTGAGCACGGGTGCCTGGCCTCGGGGCCCAGTGGTCAGAGTGAGTGTTAAACAAACCTATTTACCGAAAGGCAGGGCGGTGGAGGCGGTGCCCTTGGCGGTGTCCCCAGGCCCCTTACTTGTCCTGGTTTCCTTGGTCAGAGTCGAAGGACGTTGCTAACTCTGGCCTTTGGAGCTTAGATGTCCTCGCAGGTCCCCCGTGGGGTTCTCAGCTCACCTTCCGTGCCCGTTCGCTCATGTCTTTGTTCACGCAGGGCCCTCTGCCCGTCTTGCTTTCCCTCATCTTCGCTTGTCTGCAGACGGGGCCTCCTGCTGGCAAACTCCCTGACAACTTCTTCTGTTTATGGCTCCCCCAACATAGATTTGGGGGCAAAGGGGGTTATTGCCTTTAAACGTTGTTTTTCCCTTTTACTACAGCAAGTTGAGAAAATACAGAGACAGGTAGGTGCGCGTAAGAAAATGCTTTGGCCCCTTCCTGGCAGCTGTACTTCCTTCGCCGGAAGGCTGGTGGCCGAGTCCAGGTTGCAGTTCTGGGCTGTGTATGCTGCTGGGCCACCCCCCTGGGCTTGCAGGGAACTGGCAGGCCTTTGGGACGCTGGATATTTGGGTACAGGTGAGCCCTGGGCCAGCCTTTGGGGGTCTCCCATGATGGTCAGCTGCGGCAAATGGACAGCACACAGATCTGCCCGGCCCGTGTCCGGCCGGAGGGCCCCGGGGGCCAAGGCGGCAGCTGGTGATGGCAATGACAGCACAGTTACAACTTGTGGGGGCCACGAGAGGCATGGCCCAACTCCCATTTCACAGACTGGGAAGTGAAGTCGGGGAGGGGGAGCAGAGTCAGCCTGCTGGGGTCCCGGGGTGACGTGACGGACCCAGCCCTCTTGATTTGGAAACCCATGGGTTCCAAACCCCCTAAAGCTTCAGGGACTGGTTGAGTGTCGGAGGAGGGGTTGGAGGGGGGGTACACGCAGCAGGGATGAGGCGGCCTGGGCCAGTGTGTCTGGCAAGGAGAATCCAGGCTTCCGTGGGGAGCCACAGAGTAGGGCTGGGTTACTGGGAGCAGAAGGGGAGAAGGCCTGGGTGTGTCCCCAACTGCCCTGCTCTGAGGGCCCACTCTCCTCCAGAGATGGCTTCTGAGCTCTGGCAGAGGGCAGAAGTAGATGCTTACCTGGGCCTACTCCAGGCAGCTGAATCCCCAGATGCCACCCAGGTTGGCTGGGCCTGGTCCCCAGTAGCCCTGTGGTGGCTTCCCTGTCGCCGGTATATGGAGAGCAAGTGAGGGCCAGTGGTTTGTCTATTTATCTGGGAAGATAGGCATTCTGTGAGCCCCACACTTCAGGGCCTAAGGGGTGGGCATTTTTCTTTGGCTTAGCCCCCGGGAGCCTGAGGCAAGCATGTCCGGGGGCCTGGCACTTTCCATAGCAGCTAAGAGGCTTGCAGACCCCTGCCCTCCCAGGCAGTGACAGAGGACGCCCGGCAGGGTTGCTTCCCCACTCTGCACAGTGTGGTCTTTGCAGCTGGTGGGAGGCCGGGGGGGCCCCCAGACATGGGCACTGCAGTTCAGCCTCAGGTCCTTCAGGTGGGAATCTTCCCCTACATTGGGTGCCAGGGAACTTCTGCCCCCAGGAGGGCTCCTTGCCAGGGCTGTTTTCTGAACAGGGATGCTGGCTGGGGTAACCCCTGGGGAATAGGACAGTGGTCCTGGTCTGCAGGCTGAGCCTCAGAACTGACCCAGAGCCCAGGCCTGGGAGAGGCTGCAGGGACAGGGCGTCTTGGGGAGTCTTGTACAGTTGGGGGAAAGATTTTAAGTTGACAGCAAACTTGCAAGGATAATCCAGAGAGCTCTGGTACACTCTGCTTAGATTCACTTTTGCCATAGTTGCTCTTCCTGTCTCTGTCTGACCCCGCCCCCACCCCCAATCTGAATGCTGACCAGTCTAGAGTAAGTTGTAGATGTCATGCCTTTCTGCCCCGAAATGCTTCTAAGAACAAGGATATTTTCTCACATAACCGGTCAGTTACCCAAGATAAGACACGGACATCGATACAGCACTGTTATCTAAGCTACATATTCACACTTCCCCAGTGGAGCCCGGGGTGCCCTTATCCAGGAATACGTGCTGCATTCTCACATCCTTAGTCTCTTACTTGGAACAGTTCCTCAGCCTTTCTTTGTCTTTCCTGACCTGGATGTTTTAGAAAGCACAGTTAATTTAAGACTGGCCCTGAATTTGGGCTTGGCGGATGTCTCCTCGCGATTTGCCCCAGGTGGGCACTGTTAGCAGGAAAGACCCAGAGCAGCCCCCCTCTGGAAGCCGGCAAGTCTATAAGCAGCTTGGCTCTGGCCCGTCTGTGCCAGAGGGAGTTCTCAGGGGTGACGCCTGTAGAGGAAACGGTGCCCCAGTGATCTGCGGGTGGGTGGCTGGGGCTGCGTTAACTCCACAACCTCCCTGGCTTACACCTGGGAATTGCATCCTGTTGTTGCATCCTCCGGGGGGCTTCCCACTCCCGGCAGCACCCCGCGCAGTGCCCGCCTGAGCCTGGGTTTCCTCAGCTCTGAAGCAGGGATACGACCGTTCCCGGCCACGGAGCAGCTGGAGTCCACGAGGTGGTGCCGTGCTGCCCGCACTACCCTCTCTAAGGACGATGTGGGGGCTGGGCATCCCTGGGTCACACTCGAGATTAGGCGCTGGCGAGCCCTGACCCTGCCAAAGCCACCCCAGGGCTGGGGTGGGAAGGCGTGGAGGTGGAGACTGCCGGCCATTCTGGTCTTGACCGTTAAACTGGGCGCTGGGGCCTCCTGTTGGGGATGGACGGATGTGGGCCCAGGGTTCGGGAAGTGCTGTGGGGCTCCTCAGACCAGGACCCTTGGTGGGGAGGGAAGCGCAATTGGCATAGTGGAGGTGGGGATATGGGGCTGGGGCTAGCACCCAGGCCTCTGAGTCTCAGCCTGCCCTGCTCCCTGGGCCTGCCAGGTCCTCCACACCTTGCTAACTCCCACCCCACGAGCAGAGAAAGGCTCCTGCAGAAAACACCGCACAGGGATTGATGTGCTGACTGAGCCCCAGCTTGTGTGGGGACAGGGGAGCAGCTCCCTTTTCTTGGGGCTTCCCTTACCCTGACCACAGACACCCCTGTGCACCCCTCTGGCCCTGTTCTCTCTGGAAGCAGCAATATGCTGGCATCACAGTTTCTCAAGATCTAGAGCCCCCTTGGGGTTTCAGCCTTGGGACACGGGGTGTGTGTGGGCGTCGGGCCCCGCGGCCTCTGGGCTGCACGGCTCTGCCCGGGTGAGGACAAAGGAGGGGGCACAGGTCTGCTCCTGGGCTGTGGAGTTTGCCTCCCCTCCCCACCTCCTGCAACAGTAGCCTCGTGGGGCTCTGGGGAGGCAGGGACCCTGGTTCCTGCAAGGAGAGTTGCCTCATCTCCCCGGTCTCTTCTCCAGGACGAAGGCGGACCCCTGCCTGCCTCGCAGGGGAAGGGAGCCCCTCGCCAGTGTCATCTCACCCAGGCCTACAGGGCCCTGCAGTTCAGATGAGGGACCGCAGTCTGTGCTGGGAGAGGTGAAGTGCCCCTGCTGCGGGCTCAGGCTCCTCACGGCCGTCTGCCGAGAGAACCCGTTGGTGCCCTTACTCCCCTCCTCCACCTCTGGGTCTGTCTTCACTGCAGCCTGGCCGCAATAAGCCCTCCGGGAGGGCCAGTGCAGCGCCCACCCCGCAGTCCCGCACACAGCGCCACCTCCGCGGCCGGTTAACCGCGCGGGGCCACGTCCCCGTCGGCCCCGCCGCCTGCGCCCCAGCGCCCCCGGGCCTCAGCGCCTGTCCTTGGCCTTGCAGCCGAGGGCCCGCAGGAGCCCGCGCCCACCCTGTGGAACGAGCCCGCCGAGCTGCCGTCGGGAGAAGACCCCGTGGAGAGCACCAGCCCCGCCCGGGAGCCCGAGGCCACCGGGCCCCCGGCCCCCACCGCCGCGCCGAGCCCCGAGGACAGCACGGCGGGGGAGCGTCTGGACCAGGGTGGCGGTAGGCGCGGGCCGGGCGGGGGCGGGGGCGCGGGCGCGGCGGGGGCCGCGGGGCTGACCTGCCGCCCTCCGTCCTCCGCAGGCTCGCTGGGGCCCGGCGCCATCGCGGCCATCGTCATCGCCGCCCTGCTGGCCACCTGCGTGGTGCTGGCGCTCGTGGTCGTCGCGCTGAGAAAGTTTTCCGCCTCCTGAAGCGAATAAAGGGGCCGCGCCCCCGCCGCGGCGCGACTCGGCTCTACCCTCGGTGGCGCCCCGGTGTCTCGAGTGTGTCCGCGCGTCCGCGTGGGGGCGAGCGGGGCGGGCGACGACTCGCACCACGTGCGCGCGGGGCCGCCAGCAGGAACCGCGAGTGCTCGCGTAGGGGTCCCCCGCCCCCCAGCACAGCCCCGGTCCCCACACCCCCTCCCCGTCCCAGCCCCTGTCCCGAGAAGTGCCCGGGGCCCGCCCCCTGCGCTCCCGCTCAGACTCAAGCGTGGCCGCGGGCGCAGGAGAGGGGCTGAGCCGTCGGGGCTCCCAGCCCAAGGCTGGATTATTTTGGGGCCCGAGCTGGCCAGCCGGGCCCCATCTGCGGAGCTCCAGACCCGCCCCGCCAGCGTCCCCAGGACCCCCTCCGCCCCAGGGAGCCGCAGGAGCAACCCGGTTCCCAGACCGACCGCAGCCCCAGGCTGCCTCCCTCCTCCCAGCAGCTTGGCCCCGGACCTCAGTTCTTGGTCACGTCTTTTGTTTTCCCTGCTTCCTGGGAAACCTAGCTTTTATAATTTAGAAGGAGATTTAAAATAGAGGCTGAGCTGCTCGGAGCACAGCAGGGAAGAAGCCAGAACTGCGTCCCTTTGGAGTGAAATAGAAGACTGGAGGCCCGGAGGAGGGGCCGTCTGCGCACCCGGGAGGGTTTGATAGCCAGGGCCCTGGGCGGCCTGTGCGTGGTGCCGGTGGAAGGAAGCTGTTCGTCCTCTTCTTTCTCTGCTCTTTGTAGCAACTCTTTTGACTTCACTGGCTTCCCTGAGCTCCAGACCACGCCTGCTCCAGCTAAGACCAGTGTCCTCCCCCTCCTGGATACTCCAGATGAGCACTCGCTCAAAACACATGAAGGGTTAAAAGTTTCTGCTTCTATTATAAAGGACTGTTGTAAAACCGAGCAGCTTTCATGCAGCGGTTTACATGACTTCATCGCACACAACCTCATAACCAAAGCCCTAGTCGGTACAGATGATCCGAATCAGCATGCTTCAAAAAGATAAACTGGACAAGGGCCAGAACCAAGGGTCACTCCCTCCCCTTTGCCCCAAGGTCCCCGCCCCCAAGAGCAGCACAGGGCTCAGGAATGGCCCCTCTCCCCCTCTGCCCACTCTTGGGGGCCTTGAGTGGGGGTCTTCCCCCTGGGGGTGTAACAGAGGCCCCAGCATGTCTGTCACTGTTGAGCCAGAGTGTCGCACGTCTGCATCCTCAGAAATCCATCCAAGTCTCAAAGGGTTCGAGGTCTCAAGAATGCCAAGAGCCATGCTGTGGCCTGTGGGAAAAAGGCTACGAAGTCCCACTTGACTCAAATCCCGGGCTTCTAACGAAAGGCCTGTTCTGGCACGGAGCAGAGTGCATCCCGGCAGAAAGAGTGTGGTCCCAAGTAGGGCTGGGCAGGGTCAGATTCCAGGCCCGCCACACTCCGGGACAGAACCAGGAGTGGGGCTGGGGTATCTGTGAGGGTTACCTGGGCTGGGGGAGGAGCTGCAGCCTTTGGGGGAACTTGCTAGCACCAAAAGTGGGAAGCAGTGCCCGAGGTATGAAGCCCCAGCCCCATGCCTGGTGTTAGACATCCTGTGGGACCACCACCCACTGATAGTCCCACCGTGGTTTTCCAAACAGGAGTTCTCGCTTCCACTGTGGCAGAAGGGTGTCCCCGACTCCCTCAAATTGCCTCTTCTGTTTCTGGAATCCTTCCATTGGTGGAGCCCCAAATCTCCTTCCATTCTGAGATCCTAACCCTGGCTGCTTTTCCTTATCCTGGAAGCCATCTCAACCCCTTTCTTCAGGACCTGCCTCCTCCATTAGCCTTGAAAGGAGTTCTTCTCTCCCTGCCCAGAACCAAACACCTCATTCCCGTGTGCAGCAAGGCAATAAAGAGTAGACCTTCACCTCCTTTATTTTATACATGATGCTTCTTTTAATGCAGCCAAAAATGATATTCGCTTTTCTCGGAACCAAAACCGATACAGGATGCAGTGACCAATTCATTCCTTACAACACCTGGGCTCCTGAAGGGGCCAGAAGACACAAGTTACATCCAGCTTGTCAGGGAGCCAGAGGTGGCGTGGGCCCTCGGCCAAGCTCTGGTAGGCCTGCTGTGAAGCAGGGCCTGGCCGTGCAGCCAGAGGCTGGCGGAGGCTTGGGGAGGGGAGGACAGAGGCATTTGGTCTCTTGGTCCTTTGAACTGGAGACCAAGGGCTGCTCAGCAAGCTCAGGCAAGGGCGGGCCATCTGCACGCACGCACGGAGGATTCCGATGGCTTCCAGGGGAGAGAAGGACATGTGCAGGCGGTCACGACAGTCCTTCCACCCTGCCCTCGGCCAGGGACACTCCCGGTCTGGGGCTTCCTCCAGCGCCTGGGGAGGCGCCGATGCACCTCCGCCCCCTCTGAGAGACAAGAGGGACAGGTGGCATAATACTGTTGAAAATACACTTTCTCGTTTACAAATGCAGCGGAGGAAGGACGTAGGCACCCCTTCTCCCGTTTGCAAGCAAGGGGGCCGAGACGCACGTGGCAGGGGGAGGGGCGGGGGTGACTCCCGCGCGAGGCGCTTGCCGTCCCCCAGAGCCCTCCACCATCTGCCGGGGGCTGCCTGCCCCGCGGCGCTGCTCCAGACCGCCCACGTCCTTCCCCCAGGCTGGCGACCGAGGCCGGGGGTCATTGCCGATTTCGACTGCCCAGCTTCCTGCGGTCCTTATTCTGGCTGCGCTGAGGGTCGTCCATCTTGTGGACACGGAAACATTCTTTGAGGTTCTGGGACCGGATCTTGGGATTCAGGATCTCCTCAGTCATGGAGCTGGGGAACCAGCCTCTCTCCTGGTCATGCAGACGCTCGCCAAAGATCCACCCTGTGTAGAGAGGGGTCGGGGAGGGTAAGCAGCTCTTGTGGGGTGAGAGCTGAGGGCTGAGCCCCCAGCCCGGCCAGGGAGTCCGGCTGGCCCCTCCAGAGGACACCTGCTCGACGAACCCCTGCCGGAGACAGGGAGTTTGGGTCTGTCTCCCCATAAGCTGGGAGAGCACTGCCCTGACCCCCTCCTGGGGAACGTGGTCCTAGGGTGCCACGGGGTGTCCCAAATATATTGACTTTGGAACCCATTCCCGAGCCCTCAGCAACTATCGGCTGCCCAACGTGGGGCCAGGAGACCCCAGGGACGCCCCCCAAAGGGAGAGGTACCTAAGCTGACCACCTGGTGTCTGGAATGCCACCATCACTCTGTTGGGCAGCCTGTCCCTGAGCCCTGGCCTCATGACATCTGCTTCTGCACACGGGGTGTAGACACCCCCACCTTATCCCTCAGGCTGGTGCAGAGTCCCGGGGGTGGGGGCGGCACGAGTGGGAGATGCACCCAGACCCCCAGCCCTCACCGTCTTCCGTCTTTTCCAGGATGTTCAGGATGTCGGCCAACTCCAGGGTCAGCTCATCTGGCTGCTGGGCCACATACGGGTGCACACACTGGACCTGAGGGCAGTCTGAGGGGAGGACGGGGAGGTGGCACGTCCTCGTCACCACGTCACCCACCCTGCTCAGGACCCAGCAAACCCCGGACACCCCCTGTCGGTAGCAGGGCAGGCCTGCCTGTAACAGAGCACCCGGAAAGGGTCTGTTTGAGGGAGAGGACAGTTTGGCTGCAGAGAAAACGTGACTAAGATAGCCAGGGGCTCTGGAGAAAAACAGTATATGGGTAAAGGGCTGGACGGGCTGGGAGGGGGTCTGATTTTGGACTTGAGAAGGCACTCCCCGGACTTGACATGCTGGCCGCAGTTTGGGAGGCCCGGACTCGGCGAGCACAGGCAGGGCTAGGAGCTGCTCTGTGAGGTAGGTGCACAGGCACCCTTTTATATTTTATAAGGTTTTCAGAGAGCGGGCAACCCCAAAAAGATCACTGGCATTTGTCTTCTGGGCCCAGATTCCTTTCGTTTCCTGGTGGTACCTGTCACTTAAGACTCAGTGACTTATCTCTTCACTAAGCACACAAACGTTTGCAAAGCTCAGGCAGCCCTATGTCCACCATCAGGGTACTAAGCTCGCAGCTCACACACAGGCCCTCTGGGCCGGGGAAGCTGAGCTGGCCTCTGGGGGCTGGTAAGCACTTGCCCCACCAGGAATGTGGAGAATGCCTGCCCCTCACCTGCGCTCATGTGTCCTCACCTGCCCTCGCCTGCCCCACCCAGCAGGCAGCCTCCTCCCTGAGGGCACTCACCCAGCAGCCGAGAAGTGAAGGAAACAAACTTGGTTCTCCGGTTGGGGGCCAGCGAGGTCATCCAACGTTTCATCTCACTCCTGGGACACAGAGGACGACTGCCAGAAACACAGAGCGACCGCCCTTCCTCCCCCCGGGGAGCTTGGTGCCCAAGCATCCCACGAGGCCACAGCAGGACAGCTCGGTGGGGTGGGGGGCAGAATCCGAGCAGAGGCACGGGGGAGTCCTGTAGACTCTCCCCGACACACCTGAATGTCAGCTGGTGAGGGAGAGCCCTCCCGGACACCCCCAAAGGCACCCCGGAAACCGCAAGCTCTCAGACATGTCGTTGTCCCCGTCCGGATGGTGGGAGCTGGACGGAGATGGGTGGGGTGGCCTGTGAGCTCTGGCGGGGACAAGCACCGGGGTGATGAGATGGCCCCGGGGCTGTCCAGGGATGTGGTGCACTGGTCAGCCTGGCCCGAGGCTTCTACGTCTCATCAGAAAAGGCCCTTCCAGGGTCCGGGCCCCAGAGGGCACACACACGCACCCCCGACAGAAGCCCTGCCCTTGGGGCCTGGGCGGCCAGGGGGCCACGAAGCATGTGCCGAACCAGAGCCCTGGTCCGCCAGGGAAGGAGGCACGGAGGTGCCGTGGGGCCGGGGCTGGGGCCGGGGCCGGCAGTGCTGGGCACTCACTGCGAGGTCGCCTTCAGCATGTAGGTGGCCTCCCGGTCGTCCGCATTCTCCAGCAGCCGCAGGATGAACACGTTGGCCAGCGTCTGGCCCTGGTCCTCCAGCTCCTCCACGCGGAGGAGGCCTCTCGGGGCCGAGTCAAACACTTGGTACTTGTCTCTGGGGACCGAGGGGGGCAGGGTTGAGGGTGCCGGCCCCCAGGAGGCCCCAGGGTCCCAGGGAACCACCCTGCCAGTCCTGCTGGCCCCACCATTTGGTCACGCCTCACCTCATTCTGGAAGCCCTGGATGTCAACACGGGTCCCTCTCACCCTGAGACTTCCTCTTCCCACCGCCCCACCGTGGCCCCCAGGCCAGTTAAGCCTCATCCTCCGCTGCTCCTGCTCCGCAGCGGCAGCAACCTCACTGCTTACCCAGGAATCTGCCGGCAGATCACCAGCAGGTCGTTGAAGAGGAAGAGGTAAATTTCCCGGAAGAGTTTCTTGGTCCGCAGGGTTCGGGATGTCTTGGGGCCCGCCATCTGCCGCAGCTCGCCCTGCTTCAGCAGCCAGCGGGAGTGGGAGATGATGGGCACCGACTGGGTGGGTGGGGGGTGGCGTCAGAACAGCTGTGCCCCCCCCCCCGCCCTGTACTCCCCCGAGGTCCCCCTGGGCCTCGCTGGAGTCCTAACCCGAGGGACAGCTTGGGGGTGCTGCAATGGGGGGTTGAGGGGAAGGAGCAATCCTGGGCAAATGTAGGAAGGGCAGCGTGTGTGTGTGTGTGTGTGTGTGTGTGCATGTGCACAAGGGTGCACGCTCCCATGGACACGTATGTGGCTGTGTATGTGTATCTGTGCCTGTGTGTAGCTGTGCATTTGTCTGTTGTGCATGTGTCTGTGTGTGCTTCTGTGTATATGTGCTTGTGTCTATGGGGACTTGTGTCTGTACCTGTGTGAGGGTCGTCGTTCCCTACCAGGCTCAGCCCGTGTGATGCAGAATCAGAAGGGGAGCCAAGGTCACAGGGGAGAGGAGAACTGGGTCCCCTGGGGCAAGGAGGCCAGGTCTGCAGGTCCCCACTGCATGGCTCGGGGACGAGTTCCTGGCAGTGGTCAGCCCAGCAGGTGGAGATATGGCAGGAGCCCAGAAGGCCACGTCTGCGTCCTCACCTGGGGCTCACCTCCTAAACATGGCATGACCTCAGGGACCCTCAGTGTGTGCTCATGTGACCACGTCACCAGAAACCCAGGCCCCTGGGACCCTTGGGGCACACTAATGCCTGAAGCTTTACGTGAAGTTGGGGCAGATCGGTAACTGCTGTCAGATTTTCAGTTTCCCCCGATTTAAGAATCCTTGGAATGGTCCCTGTCACGTGCTTCATGTCAACTAACTGCTCCAGGTCACACGGACAAGAAATGAGAGCGGGTGGCTCCAGGGTCCTCGCACACCATCTCTCAGAAGGTAAGCGCAGGCCAGTGTGATGGCCCGGTCACAGGGGGCTCTTAGGGCCAGCTAGGGGTGTCAAGAGACCTCAATGAAGGCGACACCGAACTGAGACCCAAGGGTGGCCAGTCACGGAGTTCGACCAGGCCAGCCCGGCTGGGTGGGGACACACGGACGGGCACAGGTTCACCTTGATCTTAAACTCCATCTTCTTCTGGATGCTGATCATCTGCTCCGTGCGGCTCATTTTCCTGACGCCCTCGTTGCATGCTTTTACCACCTGGCAGAAGAAGGGGGACACGTGAGGCCACCTGCAGCCAGCCGCTCCCCCGCCCCTGCCTTTGGCCCGCTCAGGCCCCCGAGGGTGAGCAGACGCTGCCTGCAGCGGAGACTGGCTGGCCAGCACCTCCTGCAACAAAGGCCAGCGGGAGAGCCCGTCAGGCTGTGGCTGCGGCTCTCGGTTCTGGGGGAGAAAGTTAGCGTCTTGTCCCTGCTAGAAAGGACACTCCAGAGCACACATAAGATGATGCCTGACCTGTCATGTCACCTAAGAAAACAAAACAGCAAGGTGCCCATTCTCACCTGCCAGACTGGAAAAGTTAGACTGGTCACCTCCGGGTCCGCCGGGGTGTGGGGAGACAGGATCTGTCACACACTGTGGGACGGGACAGGGGGAGGGGGTGCAGATTCCCCCCACCTTCCTGGGAGGCCACCCAGATACCAAGAAGCCTAATAAAACCACACTTCCTGGGATTTCCAGGGGCTCAGTCTGCAGAAACAGTATTCCACGATGGATCGCCGGTGTTTAGAATGGAGCCTGGCATCCAGCACGCTCCCACTATGTGCCCAAAACGTTCCCTGCGCTGTTGTTTCAAACGAGAAAAACTGTCGTCAACCTGTGTCCACTGACTGGGATTGATTAACGTTTATATGCACCTCACCCTGTACCACGAAATCATTAAAAATGGCAATAACTTTACATGCGCTGAAACGGAGAGCAAAGAAAGCCAGCTTCGAAACCACAATCCCTGTTTTGCAAAAATTAGTTGTGTGTGCAGGTGTCTGTTTGCAAGGGCAAGAACCCACATGTCAGCTGGGACATGTGGGACACCTGGTGACCTTACCACCTTCTGTGTACTCATGAGCACTTGCTGAATTTTTTTTTTTTTGTATCGAACATCATTTTTATACATTAGAAAAAAAATCCACCTTTATAAAGAAAAGGTAAACCGCGAGAAGCAAGTACAGCTTTTGTTAGAAGGGAAAGGAGATGGTGGCAGAGACCTTTAGAAACAGAGAGCGCTCTCCTGGCGCCCGGCATGCGGGACCCCTCACGGGCTGAGGCGGTCACTGGACTCACCTTAGGTGGCCCAGTGGGTGCCGGGACGAACCCCCGACCCGATCAGGTGCGGGAGTTCCAGGGGAGGGCAGAGGGCCCTGAAAGATGCCGCCCGGGGCACTGACCCTCCCCGACCAGCCTGCCAGGTGGCCAACTGGTAAGGGAAAAAGGAGCGGCCGGGAGGAGACCCCTGTGAAATGGAGCCCTTGGGGCCCCAAGTGGCTTAGAACTGCCATCAGATGCCCATGGAGGCCAGTCCTTTTACTGAGCTGCTGCCTCTGGGACAAGAAGTGGAAAGGACCACACGCTAGGCTCTTGTCCACTACAGTCGCTGGCACGACAGAGTGGCCCCGTGCCGCTTCCAAGAGCTGGCCTGCAGCTCCAGCAACACCAGGAGCCGAGCACACGAGCCAGCGCCGGGAGAGGGAAGGGAGGACCCGCGTGACCCGAGCGCTGGAGAAAGGACATCGGGTGTCACTCCTCCGGCACAGCCCTGACTCTGCTGGCCACCCCAGGAGGAGCCGCTTCTCCGAGGACGAGGAACGGACGTGCTCTCCTCCCTCTCGGGCAGGAACAGCCCAGGACTCGGCAGGGCCAGTGAGATAGGAGGGAGGGGAGCAGCGTGGGGAGAGGGAGAGGCGGGGGGAGAAGGCACAGGGCAGTGTCGGGGCACAAGAAGAGCCAGACCCAGCCTCCTCGCCTGTCACAGGAGGGAAGACCCCGGAGACAGGCAAGGACTAGCGTGGGGCTTGAACTCAGGACCCCGAGATCAAGAGTCGGGTGCTCTACCTGCCCGAGCCAGCCAGGTGCCCCTCAATGACTTTCTTTTGATATTAAAATGAATTTGCAGTTTCCAAAGACCCACCAACATAGGAGGAAGCAGGGCCAGAAGGTGGGTGTCCAGACAAGGACAACGGTTTGTTGGGAGAGAGAAAGAGAAAGTGGGGCTCACCATCTCCAGTTCTTTGTGGGCGTCCAAGGCAGTGCACTCACGCTCAGATCTCTCTTCCACTCTCTTCAGAATGTTCTGAGCACGGGAAAATCTGCATTAATACGACCACCTGTGGCCTTTCCTCCCCTCCCCGCCCCCATGAGCAGCAGCACATCGAAGAGCCCGACTGGCAGGAAAACCTATGACCGACCCACGTGCGGGCCCAGGACCGGGCATCCTGAATCCTGACCACAGCTGGCCCAGGACCGGGCATCCCCACCCACAGCCGGGCCCAGCTCTAAAATGATGACCCCAAGGCAGTCTCCCGAGAGGATTAACTATGGAGGCCAGGCTACATCCCAAGATCCCGTGGGGCTCACCAGGAGACCACAGCAAAGCAGGTGACCCCACGCTGGCGGGGTGGACCCAGCATTGGGGGAAAGGCATGCTCGGGATGGCCCTGTCCCCGCGGGAGCCCTACGCTCACGGTGGGCACCGGGGAGGGAGCCCTAGGCTCACGGTGGGCACCGGGGCCTTCCCCACCCTTTCCCCTGGGATCAAGTCGCAAGAACCCCGAGGCTTTGTTAACTGTTCTTATTGATGAAAACGTCTCTTTTCCAACTGTTTGATTTTCTTGAGTTAATGTCTTGCTTACTTTCCCTCTGCCTTGAGCGTGCTTCCCGGGAACGCTTCCCTGATGGCTCCACCGGCCACCCCCTGGCCCCTCTGTTTCCTCGAGACCACAGCAAGATGGGTCTTGATCTTAGTTTTGTTGGTTTTTATCGTACAAAAATTAATTTTTTTTATATATCCACACATGCTCTTTTCCTACAAAATCTCTTTTATTTGCTATAAAAATTCTTAATAATTTCTCCGTTTTTCTGTTTCGGTTTTTCCAAGTGAAAAAAAAAATTTCACACGTAGCCCCCCCACTCACTGGTGTCCTGTGACTTGGGCTCGCACTCCTTCTCTGCCAGAGCTCTCTCCTGACATCCTGGGGGTGCGGGGGGCGCTTCCTCTGACATCCCATCTCTGTGGTCCTGGGCCTTGAGCCCTGGTCCCCCTCCCCCTGCCGAGGGCTGTGACCTCCCCGCCTTACTACTGCCACCGTGGAGCTAGCCAGCTGCCCCAGGTCTTTGGCCTGCTGTCTGCCTGACCTCTGACCTCCCCTAACTGTGGCTCCTGGGTCATCGTCTCAGCCCGGGCCCCTAGAGCCACGGCCAGATCCACACCATCCCCTCCGTGTGACTGGTGGACTCCCAGCAGCCCAGGAGCATGTGCCAGGCACAGCGCGTCTCTGCCCTGCTGGAGACCCCCTTTCAGGAAGTGTCACCCCCTCCAGGCAGCCCTCCTGGTCTTCCTTCCTCACCACTGTTCCTTCTTGGCCACTGTGTCCCACAGCCGGGTCTGGGGACCCCTTTCTCTCCTTCCTGGCCGGTCTCCTTTCACTAAATGCCACCTCGATGCCCACAGGCCCTGCTCAGACTTCTCCCCAACTCTGAACTTGGAGATTTGACTGCTCAGTCACCACAAGCTCAGCTAGTCCACACTGAGTCCTGCTGTCTTCCCACTGGCCCCGCCTCGGGGAAGACTGCACCATCACGCCCACTGCTCAAGTTCACACTCTCTTCCCTCTGACCCCAAGTAGCAAGTAGGCGTCTCAATTCATCTCAATTCGGGTTTCCCTCCAACATCTCCCCTCTTCCCTCCCCCACTTCTCCCCCAGACTAAGCTTCTTTCTCCAGTGGCTTCCTAACCCCTTCTCCCATTTCCCTCCTGCTCTCCTGCCCATCACTCTGCACAGGCAGCCTGTGTGCTCTCGCAGAGGCAGTTAGATCAGGGGACTCCCCGACATGCTGAAGAATGACCCCAGCGTCTTACCTGGTCCCTTAGGGCCCCAACTGGCCTCTCTCCCCATCTCTGCACTCACTCCCGTCAAGTTCCCTCAGTTCACCACTGGCCTTCCTGGCTGTGAACTTGGCTGCCCCAGAGCCTTTGTGCAAGCAGTTCCTTGGCACCTGAATGGCTCCTCCCTGTCAGCCAAGTCTCGGCTCAAATGCCACTCGTCTGTCTTTCTTGACCCCCTGAACTGGCACTGACCAGGCAGTCACCCCCTATCATGTCACCCTATTTCACCGTCCTTCCAGCCGCGACCACTTCCCAGTTGTGCGGGCTTGTCTGTCTCTCCCCCAGATTGTGGGGACAGGGGAACAGGGGCTGAGTCCCCACTGCTCAGCACACAGTAGGAGCTTCACGAGGATTTGTGGAACAAGTGAACTTCCCAGAAAGCTAGCAGGGACCTGGGATGACCACAGGAAGCCCTCTGCAACAGGAGAAGCCTGGGCAAGTCCAGTCCCTGGGTTGGGGAGGCCAGTACCTGCACCAACAGCTTGAGGCGCGTGATCCTCTGGAAAGGCAGGATGAGGAAGGAGGACAAGGGCAGCCCCCTGCACTTGGGGTCCAGCTCCAGCTGCGCAATCAGCTCCCGAAAGGCCGCCTTCTCCTGGCTGGGGACACAGACACGAGAGTCGGTCTCCGGCTCGCAGGAGGCGTGAATCAGAAGAGCATGGGGGGCCTCGTAGGAGCCAGACGGCCCACGGGCACAGGACACGTGTTGATGTCTTTCCTTCTTTCCTTTTCACGGAAAAGAAACTGTTCGTGTACAAGTCAAATAACAACAGGGGCTTCACATGCCTGGCCCCTGAAAACTTAGCAAAGTGTGCTGTGTGTGGGAAGGCAAGGATTCCTCGTGTGGCCAAGTCTGTGACTCAGACGCACAAGTTGGTGGTTTACCCTGCAGGGAACCGTGGCGAGGTGAACCCACGTAGTGACGGGGACAGCGGCGGGCTGGGGGCGGCTGCCAGAGGAAAGCGGTGCTGTTCCTGCCAGCAGAGATGGCCTGTGTGCAGGTGGCTCAGCGGGGGGGTGGGGGGTGGGAGGGGCGACAAGGGCTCTGGGGACCTGCAGGGCCGCTCTGCCTCTTTCTCAGGTACACAGGGTGCACACCAGCACACCCTCAGCACGGCAACGCCTACGTCCTGTTCCCCTGTATGCTCGTCTCCCCCAGGTTTGTCCTCAAAACGGGCATCCTGATTCCCTCAAGTCCCAATTTTCAACCTCCAAATGTAAAACCTCCAAACCCCCGAATGCTCAAGTTTTAAAACATCCACAGTTAGCCACAAGGCTTGACAGCAAGGCCCAGGGCAGCGTAACGTTCGGATGTTACTTCTCAGAGAGACCTTCCGTGCTCCTGAGTCCAGGTAGGGACACATCACTGGTGACGGTCACTGACACGTGGCGCAGAAGTGTGGACACTTCAGAAGAGGCTAGTTGACTGAGAAGTTATCTCATCAATGGAAACCCCAGGCGAGTTTACAAGGGGGCAGATCAGGGACGCCTGGGGGGCTCAGCCGGTTCAGCATCTGACTTCAGCTCAGGTCACGATCTCACGGTTCATGAGTTCGAGTCCTGCATCGGGTGAGCTCGTGCCCTACTTGTCTCCCATTCTCTCTGCCCCTTGCTAACTTGTGACCTCTCTCTCTCAAAAAAAGAAAAAAAAAATTAAAAAAAAACAATTGGGCAGATTAGTAATGAACTCACCACCAAAGACTTCCTCCTGCCCCGTCCTTGCCTTTGTCTCTGGTTCAAACCATTTTTCTGACCTCTCGGGCCCCAAGGGGGCCTCTGGGCCTCAGACCCTCTTCTCTAAACCTCACAGAACTCAGCCCAGCCGTTCTGGACACAGGCCCAGTGGGTGCCACGGCTGACTGTCTTGGGGTCGACATTTCTCTAGTGACCCCGAAACCCCCGGCACGTGCCAGGCTTGGGCACCATCCCGGGAAAGCAGAGGTCCAAGGACTGAGCGCGGTGGCACCATGGGAGGAGCCACGGCCCCACTGCCGGGCGCACTCACAGCAGCTGCTTGTAGGTCCTCTCCTGGTAGGTCTGGTTGCTGACGTAGGTGATGTAGACTGAGAAGTGGTTGGCCGCGTAATGGTACACGATGTCGCACACGTCCGAGATGACGATGTTCTCCTCCATCCGGCGCTCTAGCTCCAGGAGAAACCTGCAGGGGGGCAGTGGCTGGGGTTAAGGGCGCCTGGACGGCGACACTCAGGACAGACACGTCTCCACCACCGGGCCTGGCTCCGACAAACCAACAAACGCGACGGGCCGCGATCCCTGCGCCGACGGCATGTTCGGTCACATCGAGGAATTCTACGTTCAGTGTTTTTAGGTGCGTACCAGCACTAGGGCTATTTTTTAAAGAGACAGCAAGAGACTTTATGTTTTGCATACGTATCGATGTGTTCACGGATGAGGTGACCACAGGGATTTGCTTCAGAAGGATCCTGTGGGTGGTGGGGAGGCGTGGGGTGGGGACGCAGGCAAACCTAGATGCTGGGCTAGGGGTGGGCTCGTTATACTGGAGTGTCTACTTCTGCATGATTGGAATTTTCCACGGTAAAACGGAAGTCAGTACATGTGTAAAAAGACACCCCTTTCCCAACGGGGTCAGGGGGCAAAGGCCAAGAAGTCTCTCGGCAACCATGTGCCCAAGCCCACTGGGTGGGGCTGCCCCCGGGAGGTGGGTGTCAGTGCGGAGGGGGGACCCACCCAGGGGCCCACAGGGGGCCAGCAGCGCCCGGGGCGCCCCAGGGGGTGGAGGAGCCCCTCCTGCCACACCTTGGCTTCACGTCTGAACGTGCACGGTTGGACCAGCTCATCCAGAAGCCGAGTTTTGCGCTTTGGGCTGCAGGCTCCGTGGCCTCCAGGGAAAATGGTCACTGGATCCTCTACCCTAACGGTACGACTGGCATGCTTTTCTTTTTGGCAAGAACCGATTAGTGCTTGTTTATTCCTCCTCCAGTTAAGTTCCTCCCACCCTTCAAATAGGCAAAACGTAAGCACAGTTCCAAAAATTACTGGAAATGCCATCTAACTGGGGAGAGAAAGCCTAAGTCCAGGGCCAGGCTCTGCGCTGGCTCTCAGAGGGCCCCGGGGCCCCGCGAGCCAGGGTTTCCAGAGTCAGGATGAAGAGCAGCTCACACGGACACCCCCGGACCTGGTCAGGACACCCGCCGCAGACCTGCCTGACTGTGGGGGCTCAGGGACACTTGTGCTGACGGGCAGGCCCGTTCAGGGGGACGTGACCTGCCGTGGCACCGTTCAGGTGGCAGAGGGCTGGGTTTACGTATTCATTTATATCTTACTATAGGTCATCCCAAACACACACAAGCAGAGAAGCCAGGGCACCACAGGTTTCAGCCGGGCTCTGGCTGAGGAGAAGGTTCCGGAAGCCAGGCCCCACAAGGACCCGAGCCGGTGGCTCACCGCTCACTGACGGCCATGACGTCCAGGACGTTGGAGAAGAGGATGTGCGCCTCAGACGGGTGCAGGGTCTTCTTCAGACGCTCATTCTCCATGAAGTGAGACACGAGCAGGCTCAGGCTTTTGTAGTACGAGGCCTCGGAAGTGACCAGCTCGAACATGGCCTGCGTCGGGGCAAACACGGAGGAGGAGAGCCGGTGGTCACGTCCCGGGCCTCACCTCGCAGGAGGGCGTCTACCCCGCTCCCAGTGAGACGCAGGCCTGTGTGCACGAGGTCGCGGGGAGCAAGGACTTCCGCACGCCGACGGCCAACGCGCCTCTGCCTAAAAGACAGACACCACGCGCTCCTGGCTCGCGACACTGAAGCCGGAGACCGCCTGACGCCCGAAACACAGAGCACGCGCGAACCCAAGAGGTCAGCCGTGCCCCGAAGCCCCAGCAGCCGCGACGAGTGGCTCGGACGGTCTCCAGGTGCCGAATGGGTGTGAAATTCGGTATAGAGGGACGCCCACCTTGACACGCCCCCGAGGAAGGCTGGAAGGCCACAACTGTCAACCACAGGTATCAGCAGGGGGTGCAACGTTTACCTGTATCTTTTCACCCTTTAACTTGTCTGAAAACTGAAAAGTGAGCATCTATGATTTCCTTCGTGGCTTAATTTTAAAATGTAATCGATAAAGCAATTTTCATTTTGAAAAAGAGAAATAAATCCAGAATCTAATGAACTTTTGGGAGGCACCCCTATTCTGTACCGTGACTGTCATCTGATCACCGAGCCCACGCACACAACAACAGAGTCCAAGGGCCATCCTCCGCGGCATGGGGCTTCTGTGCGGCGAGGGCGCTCGGATGTCAGCTCACCTTCCTCCCTTGCTCACAAGCAAGGCACCCACCTTCCTGAGACCGCCCTGGGGTCATCCTCACCTTCCGCGGTTCCCTGACCGAGGACGGGTTCAGATTCCACAATAGCTGCCCAGAGGGACCGAGTAGTGGGGTCCCCGCTCCTGAACTGTGTTCACATTCTAAGCTCTGGCAACCTATGAATGTGAACTTGTTTGGGAAAAAATCCTTTGCAGATGCAAGTTAAGGATATTAAGGACACAGAGGTGCCTGGGTGGCTCAGTTGGTTAAGCGTCTGGCTTCGGCTCCCAGTTTATGAGTTCGAGCCCCATGTCAGGCTCTGTGCTGACGGCTCGGAGCCTGGAGCCCGCTTCAGATTCTGTGACTCCCTCTCTCTCTCTGCCCCTCCCCCCCCACTCACACTCTGTGTCTCTCTCTCAAATAAATGTTAAAAAAATTTTTTTTTTTTTTAAAAAGGATATCAAGGATATCACCCTGGGCTGAGAGTCCAAACCCAATGGCGGGTCTCTTTATAAGAGAGATATTTGACACACGAGGGACATGGGACACAGAGACAAAGCAGGGACGTGAAGCCAAGGCTGGGATGGGGTGACGCAGCAGCCAGTAGGGGCAGACGGATTCCTGGAGTCCGCAGAGGCAACGAGGCCCGAGGACACCGTGAGTTCAGGTTTCTGGTCCCCCAGCTGGGTGCGAACAAACCCTGACAAATAATTCCGCGCGCTAATTTCGTCCTCGCCCACCCGCCATGCACTGAGCAGGAGAGGGATGAGCAGGAGAGGTCAGTGCCTGGCACCCCACATCTCACTGTAGCTCTCCCCTCCCGCCCAGAACCCTGGTCCTGGGCCAGGAGGCTCTGGCTGTGTTGAGCCCAGGGCTCGGGAAGGACAGGTGGAAGGAGACAGGAGGGACCAGCTGCCTGCTCCAGCCCCTCCCGGGACCCTGGGAAAGGGCAACCACCTTAGCCGCCGCTGCAAGGAACCAGCAGACGCGGGGGTGGGGTGATGCCCCCACAGCTACCGCTGGACGGCTGAGGAGCTGAGACTCGATCCCCGGGTTTTCCGAAGCTGGCTCCCTCTACGCCAGCCAAGAGGCAGAGTAGGGGCAAAATAAGCTGACGTGTTTAGGATCTGGGGGACACTCGCAAACCTGCTCCAGCAACAGGAGAAAAGTCCACATGGGGCGCCCCTCAGGGGACGCCCACCCATCAGAGCCTGGGCCACCGCAGAAGAGAGCCCACCTGGTGCCCTAGTGCCTGCGGCTGACCGGAGACAAGCTGGTGGCCTCTCTGGAAGCATCCCTGAGTCCCGGTGGCCTGGTCTCCTTAGGAGGACGGAGCCACAGGAAAGGCTGGGACCAGCCTTTCAGCGGCCCCAGCACTGAATGACTGTCAAGGAATACCCAGGCCCCGCTAACAAGGGCGCCATCGGGACCACGGGAAGCTTCTCGCTCAGGGGTGAAGTCAAACCTCTTTCCTGCTGCTAAATTTAAGTTTCCTGAGAAAATGTCGCTTTCTGTCGCAGCTTGTGCAAGCAACATAACTAACTCCCACCTCCCCACCTCCAATTCCCCCACTGACACAGGGGTGTTGCAGACAGGGAAGAAACGCCGGCCCTCACACAGCACTGTGAGCACGTAACCCATGGACCCTTTGGTTCAGACCCCACGGTCCCGGCTCCGTGTCCCACAACGTGCCTGCCAGAGGGGGTGACGGCCACCTTGTTCTGCTGAAGGCCGGGCTCTGTGCTCCGATGCTCAGCCCCCGTGCACCCCACACACCCCGAAGATGAGCCGGAGGCCCGAGGGCCCGAGACCACCCCGGCCACTCGGGTGAGCTGTCCACGCACGGTCACACGCTCCCTGTCTCCTCTGCGGGTGTGGCCGAAGCCAGGGAAAGGAAAGGGGCGGCCAGGCCCTTCCATCAGAGGCAGAGTCCTTTCGTGCCGGCGAAGCCACTCCGGGTAGACACGCTTCCACACCCTGTCAGACCGGTCCCCCGTGAGCCGGCTGGAACGGCACAAAGCTTCCCTCACTTCTGCCGCTGGCACCGTAATTCACAGCCCACAGGCATTAAGCTGGACACAAGTGGTTCCCAAAAGGCCCTGAGGAAGGAAGAAGCCCTTCCGAGTGTCTCTTTCTTCCAAGGATGAGGACGAAGTCAGATTCCAGAGCCCACGCCTCCACCCACTGCAGTGAGGTCTGGTCCACGTGGGAAGCTCAAGGAGGGATGAGACGGAGCAAGTTCCCAGGGCCTCGGCCGTCGCATGGCGTGGCGACAACTGCCTCGTGGTGTTGCTACGGGCCTGGGTGTCACGTATGAAATTCGAGCTCGCCTGCAGCCTCAGAGGCCCTGGTGCGCCCCCCACACCACCGGCAAAAGCCCACCCATCACCAGCCCCAATTATGGTTTCCCCAGATGATCTGGTTAATAAGGTAATTTGTGAAAAAGTTTACACTAAAGTAGGTGGAAACATAAAAACCTCCATTCTTGAAAAGATGTGCAGCCTCACTCACAGTAAGAGAAATGCAAATCAAAACCACAACGAGGTATCATTTATGGTCCAGCACCGTGGTCAGGACAAAACGACTAGATGACGGAGACTGGTGATGCCGAAGCAGGACCCGCCCACCTGAGCGTGAAGGCCATTGGGCAATATCTTCCCCAAACTTACAAAACAGGTAACGTTTAACTCAATGGTTCCACCTGGCAATTCCCACAGCAACCCACTGCGTGGCTCTCAGTCTTAAATAACGCAGCGCCGAATGTCCTCGATCCACAACGTTTCTAATGGCAAATGTCTACTGATGGGGGACGGCTAAAATAAATTATAGAACATCATAAACACTGGAGGCCCATAACGCTAACAACAAGAACAAAAAGAATGGGGTGCTCCATTTGGGCTGATACAGAAAGACTTTCAAAACATTTTGCCACGTTAAAAAAACAACAACAGGGGCGCCTGGGTGGCTCAGGCGGTTAAGCGTCCGACTTCGGCTCAGGTCACGATCTCGCAGTCCGTGAGTTCGAGCCCCGCGTCGAGCTCTGGGCTGATGGCTCAGAGCCTGAGCCTGCTTCCGATTCTGTGTCTCCCTCTCTCTCTGCCCCTCCCCCGTTCATGCTCTGTCTCTGTCTCAAAAATTAAAAAAAAATTAAAAACAACAACAACAACAAAAAACCACAGCATTAACAAGGTAGTAACAGTTCTCCATTTGGGCGACACACATATGCGGGCCCTGAGGGCCAGGCAGGAAACATACGGTTTTCACTTTTTGCACTTTAGATCAGGTACATAAATTACTTATCCAAAAGATTCCTTTTTAAAAATGACAAATGCTAACTTCGCTTCGTTAAAATAGTTCCAGGTATTTGTTATAAAACAGGAGACAACTGATGTTCTGTCTGGTGGATACTGTCCGGCTTAGGCCACAGGGCAAAATTCCCTGCCCCATCCTGACTAGAGACTAATCTGCTGCATTGTTAAGGTTTTTCCTGAGGGGACAAATATGTGATTCAACGAGGGTTGGTGAGCAAAGTAACAATCACGATTTAATTTCTTGATAGAAGGATATCGTATTAAAAACCCACAGTTTCCTTCTAAAAGGGATAGTTTTCTTTTGGAAAAACGAAACAAACATGTAAGTTCTAAGTTGTGCAAACAGGAAAAAACCTCCCCAGCGTCGCAGGCTGAGCAGATTCAGGTTGAGTGATACCAGAGCTGGACAGATGCCCCAGAAGGCCCACACAGGACGGCCACTGGGTCCCCTCCCTGCTTGTCCTGGGCTGGATGTAGCTGGAAGTTCTGTCTGCACACGTTGGGGCTGTCCGGCTGCCAGTCAGCACCAGTCTGGGCAGGCGGTCCTCTGGGAGTGTATGTGTGACCCCGTTTCCCTGGAGATACTCAAAATATCATTTCCCGCTCCTTTTTTTCAGGCTGTGCACACCCAGCTCACCAAGACTGAGGACCAGGGCAACTCTGTCTTTTTCTATCTCTTTGCCGAGCCAGGTTACTGGCCCTCGCCGGGGACCCAAGCCACACCAGCCGCAGGAGTGACCACTCCCAGTGCATGCTGGGGACGGACGGCCCCTCCAGATTCTTCTGGCGGGTCAGGCCTGGTGAGAGTCAAGTGCTGTCTGATGTTTCCTCCTGCTAGTGACTGTCCCCACCGCTCCCCAGTCCTGGTCCCTCCTCCTTGCTGTTTGCTCCCTTTCAGGACAATTCCGTGTTCCACGGCTTTCCGGGGAAGCCCCTGCCCTCCCCCCGTTGAACACCTTACCCTCTCTACAGCTGCCCCTCCTAACCTTGTC